ATAGGGGGGGAACTGCGGAAACGCGGGGATCAGTAATTCACGTTAGGTATTCAACGATTTGGGGCCCTCGGGCCTCGAAGGCTTCCTGTTTTTCTGGGGCCTTTACTCTGGTCTGGTGTGCAAGAGTCGACACGGAGGCGAACATGGAAAAAAAACTGAATTGTGGGCTTTCCCTTTCTTTCCAAGTTTTAGTGCCTGGACTGTGGGTTAGACGTTTTCTGGATGCAGTCCACGGTCTGTTGGGATGCCTCTCGGGGCTGTCGTGCAAAAGTAAGCAAGGGGGGGAACTTGAACAACAGGAATTCTAAAATTCCACTGTCTCAACTCATGGGATCATGGAATCTTGATTTCTACACTGGTTTCAGGGGCAGCCAGAAGGACACGAAGACGATCCAAGAGAGTGCCAAGACAGCGTCAGAGAGTTCAATAGCATTGCCGAAACGTTTTTGTATGTGACCCCGAAGTCTTGACGGGGCTCGAGGAATCGGATAGGGAGTAAGAGTCCCAACTTGGAAAACAAATATCTGGAATTCCTTTTTTCCAGGTTCCTCGGTCTTGGGGCGCTGGAAACGGAAAAACGTGAGAAGGCGAAACACGTCGACAAAAACCACTGGGCATCAACGCTTTTACGCTATTCGGGCTCTCTCGGGACGGCTCTCGAAGCTCTCTTGGGCTGTTTGGGGGGCCTCGTCGGGAATCTTTCAGGGGCCTGTCAAGGGTCTGGGGCATGTTGGAAGCATCTGTGGGATCCCGGAGTCCTCTCGGAGGTCTCTGGAGGCATCCTGCTCCCGCTCTTGGGCTCATCTTGGGGCTGTTCTGGGGTGGTCTGGAACTGTCCTGGGCGCCTCTACGGCAGTCTTGGGACCGTCTTGGCCCGTCTTGGGGCCGTCTTGGCCCGTCTTGGGCGGTCTTGGGGGCCTCTTCGGCCGTGTTGGAGCATTGGAAATATGAATTGGCGAGAAAGCCAAAAACGTCTAAAAACAATGAATATCAACGATTTTGGATTCTTTTGTTCAAGTTCGTCGGTCTTGCAGCGTTGGAAGCGGGAAAACGTGAAAAGGCGAAAAACGTGTACAAAAGCCACTGGAAGTCACCGATTGTACCCTCTTCGGGCTCTTTCGGAACGGCTCTCGAAGATCTCTTGGGCTATTTAGGGGGGCTCGTCGGAGATTTCTTGGGGGTCTCTCAAAGATCCAGAGTGTGATGGAGGCATCTGGGCGGTCCCGGAGTCCTCTCGGAGGTATCTGGCGTCCTCCTGCCCCCGCTCTTGGGCTCATCTTGGGCCTGTTCTGGGGTGGTCTGGAGCTGTCCGGGGCGCCTCTTCGGCAGGGGCCGTCTTGGCCCGTCTTGGGGCCGTCTTGGGGCCTCTTTGGGCGGTCTTGGGGGCCTCTTCGGCCGTCTTGGAGCGTTGGAAGCATCAAACGGTCAGGATGCCAAAAACCCGTTTAAAAAACAATGAAAAATAACGATTTTAGGATCTCCGCGCGCTCTTGGGAGGCCTCTCGGAGCTCTCTTGCGGTCTCTTGGGGGCTTCCTGGGAGCCTGGAGAGCCGCCCGAAAGCTGTCCTGGGTTGTTTGGGAGCGTCTTGGGCTTTCCTTTGACGTTCTGGGAGCTTCTTGGGGTCGTCTTGGGCTGTCTTTGGGCATTTTGGGGGCTCGCCGGGAGGCCGGGAAGCGCGGATACCGGGAGCGTATAATCCAAATGCGAGCGAGGTGGAGGGCGCCCCGGGAGGGGGCCCGGCGTATTTGACTATAGCATACTAGAACCATCGCGCGCTTCGCGCGCGCTCAAGTTCTAGCTAGGCTTGATGGGCGACCACATGGAATATCATCCTTGTCGTTTCGTGCATCCAGGGGCCCTCTTGGAGGCCCAGCGCAAACCTCGGAACCGTATAGGAGGGGAACTGCGGAAACGCGGGAATCAATAATTCACGTTAGGTATTCAACGATTTGGGGCCCTCGAAGGCTTCCTGGGTTCTTTTCTCGGGCCTCAATTGTGGTCTATTATGCAAGAGTAGACAAGGGGGCGAACTTGGAAACAAACGGAATGGTGGGATTTCCATTCTTCCAAGTTCTGGTGCCTGGGCTGTGGCTTAGACGTTTTCTGGATACAGGCCACGGGCTGTTGGGATGCCTCTCGGGGTCTTCGTGCAAAGATTAGCAGGGGGTGAGTTTGAACAAAATGAATGTTCTAACATTCCACTGCTTTAACTCATGGGATCATGGGATGTCGATTTCTATATTGGTTTCAGGGGCAGCCAAGATGACACGGAGACGATCCAAGAGAGTGCCAAGACAGCGTCAGAGAGTTCGACAGCATTGCCGAAACATTTTGCACGTGACCCCGAAGTCTTGACGGGGCTCGAGGAAGAGGATTAGGGAGTAGGAGACCCAACTTGGAAAAAAAACGGAATCTCTGGAATTCCCTTTTTTTCGAATTCCTCTGTCTTGGAGCGTTGGAAGCGGGAAAACGTGAGAAGGCGAAAAACGTCGACAAAAACAATAGGGAATCAACGGTGTTACCCTCTTCGGGCTCTCTCGGGACGGCTCTCGAAGATCTCTTGGGCTGTTTTGGGGGGCCTCGTCGGGGATTTTGGGGGGGCCTCTCAGGGGTCTGGGGTGAGATGGAGGCCTCTGGGGGGTCCCGGAGTCCTCCCGGAGGTCTCTGGCGGCCTCCTGCTACCGTCCCCGGGACGCCGGGAAGCGCGGTACCGGGAGCGCAATTGAGATGTGAGCGAAGTAGAGGACCGCGGGCACCCTTGCGGGGCCATCAGGCTGCGAGGATTCGGGTTACTGCTCCCTGTACCCGTTCCAGTTTCCAGTTCCCAATGTTACAATATTGCTTTCTGCTCCCTGCGGTAAATTGTCACTGTCCGCGCGAGGGGGGAGCCGAAAACCAGCTCGGTTGGCGTTCCCGAATCGCGTTGTCTGAATTTCTGGGAGGCACTGGGACATATAAAAATCCATGAGATTCGCGCTCCCGACGCAACGATCCCTTGCAAATTACACTATATACGCGCCCCCGATGCCAAGATCCCTTGTACATTACGCTGTATTCGAGTCCCCGACGCCACGATCCCTCGTAAAATACACCATGTGCACGCTCCTGAGGCCACGATCCCAAGTAAATTACACCACATTCTCGCCTCTGGGGCCGCGATCCCCCGTAAACTATGCCACAGTCGCGCCCCCGAGGCTACGATCCCGAATCAATTACGCCACATTCGCGCCCCCGAGGCCACGATCTCATGCAAATTAACCACATTCGCGCTCCCGAGGCCACGATCCCACGCAAATAAAACCACATTCGCGCCCCCGAATACCCGAGTAGCCCCCAGCAGGCCCCAGGAGGCAGTCAAGAGGCCCCAAGAGGCCCCAGGAGGCGCCAAAGACGCGCAAAAGATGCCTCCAAGAAGCCCAAAAGATACCCCACGAGGCCCCAAGAGGCCCCCAAGAGGCGCCCAAACCGCCTCCAAGAGGCCCCCACGACACCCCAACCTATACACAAGAGGCCTCAGACCCACAACCCAGGCCCAGGGGGCGGGATGGGCCGAAGGCCACCAAGACAACGCCAACGTTTCACTATGCGCTGGTGACTCCTATCCGCCCCCGCATGCTGTTCCCAGATGCGCCAAGGCAGCGCCGAGACGCACCGACGCGACTCTGTTATGTACACACACACATATATATAGAAATACATACACATGTACATACATATACATATATATATATATATATATGTATATATGTGCGCCTACATATATGCATACTTCTGATGTGCTTAAACATAATTAGATAAAGCTATGGAGAGAGATGTAGATAAAGAGAGAGAGAGAGAGAGAGCGACATAGAGAAAGAGAGAGACCAGTGTAGCGAGAGACAAAGAGCCAGAGAAAGAGAGAGAGAGAGAGATAAAAAAGAGAAAGAGAAGGAGATCTCACGAAATCGGACGATGAGCTCACGAAGGCCAGGAGATGTAAGCATGAGATGCGACGGGTTGACGTGCAGCTGGAGGCAAAGCGGAAGCCGAAACTGCTCAGAGGAAGTGCTGGGATCGGCGCGTGCGGAAAAATTGGCCGCGGCAGCATCTGAGGCCACTCTTCGGCGAGGCATGGGCGACGAGGCTGGGGCGGGCAGCGTCGTGCCGGGGCAGGGGGCGGCGGCGCAGGGCGGCGCCACAGCCCGTACACTCGGCCGCCCCGTCCACCCCGGAGAGGGCATCCGCGCCCGAGGCCACGGCCGCAGAGCAGCAGAAACCACGCGCGGCCAAAATCACTCTGAGGGCAATCTCGCCCTGCTGGCGGTGTCGGAGCGCCCCAACGAGAATGCTGCAGCACCCTGTGCAGCAGAGCAGCCGCCTGTTGTACAAGAGTGCCCCGTCGTTTGGGCCCCTTTCACGAAAGGCCCCACGCGTAGACAAGGGAATAGCCCAGGGAAATAGGAAGAGGAAGCCCCCCCCCTGGCTCCTGCCAGCCACGGCGGCTGCGGCCACCAAGAGCATGCGCCCGAAGCGCCCCACCCCTCCCGACTGGGAGGGGCACCCGACCATCGTGCCCGATTCTGGCGCCCGGACGTGCGGCCTGCGGGGCAAGACGGAGCTCAAAGGCAACAGAGGGAAGAAGAGAAAGCAGAGACCAGAAGAGAGGAGGGAAGAAGAAGGAAAGGAAGAGGGACAAGAGGAACGAAGAAGAGGCAAGAGGAACGAAGAAGAGGACGAAGCGGATACCAGGAAGAGGGAAGTGGCCATTCTCCTCGTGAAGAAAAGGAAGAGGGGTACGAGGACGAGGATGCCAGGGAGAAGTGCGCTCGCGCCCAGAAGTGGCGGCTGCTGGGAACGCGGGGGGGAGCACCCTTTGAAAAACGTCGACCCCCCAGGAGGGGGAAAAAATGGGAAGGAGGAGCGGGAAAGAAGGCTGAACGTGTCGGGATGCGCCCGGAGGTTCTTGGAATGTGAGATAGCCAGAGGGCAGTTGAGGAGAGGTACGAGGTGATCGGGCAAGGGGAGGATGGCCACTGATCGGCAGCGACGATCCACAGCAGAGCAAAGAAGCTCAGAGCGGGCGCGGCCGACTTCCCCTGCTGATACGATCCTCCACGGCGTGAGAAAAGCTGACGGGCCGCTGCGGCGCGCAACGGGTTCAGGCTCGAACACAACTCAAGTCACTCCCGCGTCGAAAAAAGGACATGCTCTGGGTCAGTCGCCGAAGAGCTGCCAGAAGGCATCGCGCTCGAAGTAGCGCCGCTGGTCCGAAGTCGAAATCCGCAAAGATAGCAAGCATGACGAACAGGCTCGTGTATCCGACGAGTGAGAAAGCAGCCATAGCACTACGTCCCCAAGAACAGTGCGCACTGAAGCCCAGGAACAGACAGGAGGCTCGCGACACCAGCAGGAGCATCAGTAATCGGCAACGCGCCATCGTTTGTGATGCTCTGCGACACTGCAAAATCAGGGCCCGCCAATCGCAGATCCACCAGTCTTGTAGTGAAAGGGCCTGGAGAGAACGCGGAGCGCAAAATCGCGAAACACCCGCGGCCCGCCAATCGCGGCAAACAACTGGAATATGTCCAACACCCTAGCGCTGTGACGAAGGATGACAATCCGCAACGCGCTCGAGATCCTGGGCAAGCAGCGGCGCTTCCACCAGTCGCGCGGGCGGAGCCAATCACGCGAACGACGTCCATGTTGCTCCCAGCCGAGGCTCTCGCGGCGGCAAGCGCGCCCCGCCAAGACGTCCAAGTAACCCCATGCTCACGATAATAAACACTAGGGGATAATAAAGTTCGGGGCTCAGGGGGAGATAATCAAAGTAGCCCACCAGACCTCAGCATAATCTCGAAGTAAGAGATGATCAAGAGGAGACCAAGCCGAGCACGTTTTGAGACATCCTTGGCGTTTAGTCTTCATAGAAATATCCTCAACAATGGCTTATCTCGCTGGAGACGTCCTCGACAAATCCCTTGTTTCGCTTGAGACATCCACAAACTATTGCTTATTTCGCCTGAGACACCGTCAAACTATTGCTTATTTCGCTTAAGAAACGTATCGTTTCGCTTGAGACATCCTTCATCCTTAAGAAACGTATCGTTTCGCTCGAAAAGAAAACAGAGGAGGAGGAGAAAGAGAAGGAACAATCTCAAGTTCAAATGTATTAGATTTTATTTACAAGCGCTTTATGGACATTACAATTTTTAGTGCTCGCGTAGGGTAGCTCATGTGCTTCATTTTCCGTGGATAATCAACCCCAGGGATAAAAGACAGTTCAGAGGGGGGGGGGCATGGAGAGAGAGAGAGAGAGAGAGAGAAAGAGAGATCCATCATAAATAACAAGAAAGGAAGGACTTAAATAGAGAATACATATATAAACAAAGAAAAGTAGAATAATATATGAAAAGGATGAAGAGAAGAGGAAAGGAGGATAAAACAAAAAATATGAAGATTCAAATGTATTAAAGTTTATTTACAAGCGCTTTATGAAAATTAAATCTGTTAAGTGCTCGTGTAGGGTAGCTCACGTGCCTCGTTTTCCCTGGATAATCAACCCCAGCGATAAACAAGTTCAGGGCGCCAGGGGGGGGAGGAGGAGAAATATATAGAGAGACAGAGAGAGAGAGAGAGAGAGAGAGAGAGAGAGAGAGAGAGAGAGAGAGAGAGAGAGAGAGAGAGAGAGAGAGAGAGACAGAGAGGCCAGGAAGGAGAAAGAGATAGAGAGACAGAGAGAGAGAGAAAGAGAGACAGAGAAAGAAAGAAAGAGAGACAGAAAGAACTACAAAGAGACAGAAGGACATTGGTTTCGCTTGAGACATCCTGAAACAACGTGTTCGCTTCGCTTGATGTTGTTATCTCAACATAAGAAGGAAGTAACTTCGATGGCGAACTTTTCCCGTGATAATGAAGTTCGGCCTCCGCGCCCCCGCGCCCCCGACCAAACTCTTATTGGTCGACGATAAAAAACTCTAACGACTTAAGGGGGGGGGTAACATTATTATCGTGGGCATGGGGTTAGGCAGGGCGAAGCTGGTCACGAAGATCAGGCCGTAGCACCCAAGAGGGTGAAGCTCGAAGCCAAGCTGGTCGATGAACAAACCAGCCCAGGGGGAGCAGTCTCGAGCAGAAACTTGCTTGACATCAACAGCAATACTATAAAAAGTTAAGCCTCATCAGTCAGAGCTGTCAGAATTAGCCTTGGTCTCGACCTCCACAGGCCTGGCGCTCCCAAGGCGATGACACACACAAGCAAACACGGCAGCGCTCGCGCGGGCAGAGGACGAGGAAGAGGAAGCAGCCCTCGGGTGGGAAGGCCTCAGAGACCCGAGGGAGGGGGAAGGACCCTGAGCAACGGGACAGCTTGGCGATAGAGAAGTCCCCGCCGCATTCACGCAGTGCGGACCGATCCACGAACTATAGATTGTACATTTAGCACGCTCTCACTGTGGACGTGGTGTTCGAGGATGGGCAGACTCCCTGCACCCTGTCCCAATTCTGGTGCCCGAAACTTCTAAGAAACGGCGCCATGCGCGACTCGTTGCCCATTCCGACATGTTCGGACTCGTCCCCTCCAGGATCGGGAACGCCAACGAGGTTTGAAGCGAGAACAAGTCGGCGACATCGCACACGACTGGGGTTTCCCAGCCAGGCCCGCCGCGCGCCTGACCAACATATACAGGTCGCGGACTGGTGGAGCTCCATATGGGGCCACGGAACGCGTGAGGATGTGCCGAAATTGGTGCGGCGGGCGCATGCGAACGCAGCCACTGGGGCCTTCGGGGGAGCCCCCTACGGGGCCACCATACGTGCGAGGGGTGGGCCAAGATGGGCGCGGCGGGCGCATGCGAACGCAGCCACTGGAGCCGTCGGTGGAGCACCCTATGGGGCCACGAACCGTGTGAGGGGTTTGCCGAAATGAACGCGGCGGACGCATGCGAATGCTGGCATGTGGACCTTCGGTGGAGATCCCTCTGGGGCCAAGAACCGTGTGAGGGGTGTGTGAGGGTGAGGGGGGTGACGGGTGGAGAGAGGAGGAGGGGGAGGAGGAGAGGAGCTCCCTACGGGGCCACGAAACGTCTGAGGGGTGTGCCGCAATGGGCGCGGGGGGCACATGCGAACGCAACCACCAAGGCCTTCAATGGAGCCCCCTGCGGGGCCACGATACTTGTGAGGGGTGTGTCGTAAAGAGTGGCGGGCGCATGCGAACGCAGCCACTGGGGCCGTGCCTGGAGCTCCCTCTGCCTGGAGCTCCCTCTGGGGGGGGGGGGGGGGGGCCGAAACGTTTGAGGGGTGTGCCGAAAAGGATGCGGCGGGCGCATGCTAACGCAGCCACTGGGGCCTTCAGTGAAGCTCCCTACAGGGGCACGAAACGTCGCAGGGGTGTGCCGAAATGGGCGCGGCGGGCGCATGCGAACGCAGCCACTGGGGCCTTCAGTGGAGCCCCCTACAGGGCCACGATACGTGTGAGGGGTGTGCCAAGATGGGCGCGGCGGGCGCATGCGAAGACAACCACTGGGGCCTTCGGTGGAGCACCCTATGGGGCCCGAACCGTGTGAGGGGTGTGCCGAAATGAACGCGGCGGGCGCATGCGAATGCTGGCATGTGGACCTTCGGTGGAGATCCCTCTGGGGCCACGAAACGTGTGAGGGGTGTGTCAGAGTGAGGGGGGTGACGGGTGGAGAGAGGAGCAGAGGGGGGAGAGGAGTGACGCGGGGCGCTCTCTTCAAAACGAGGACCCAACACCACAGGATGGTTGGGAAAAACACATCAGCGTGACCCTGGGTGGCTCTAGATGAGCCCACATTGTGTACCAAATCGTCGCGGACCTTAGTAGAGGCAACTGCAAAAATTGCACTGGCAGCAACAACCTTGTCGGCACCACGCACCTGCTTGATACTGACGCAGCGCTTTCAATCTTGATACATTCTGTGAAGCACAACGTCCGTATCAATATCCTAGGAGACGCGCAGTAGATGGATAGGAGCAAGGTGAGGAGAGCGGATGTCGATATTGAAAAGGCGTGTCCAAACGAGAACACTCCGTCGAACCCAGTGGGGCAATCGACAGTAAGGTTGAGCAGGTTAGTTACCGGGGTCGCCAAGAAAGTGCGGTCCAGCGTGAAGAGCGACCTACAAAAGCCTAGTGGTAGTGGGCGAAGTGGAACGAGCGGGCTTCGATCAGGTGTTATCCAGGGCGCTCCAGGTGGTGGCGTCCCAGACCGGGGGCGGCGATGTTCCAGTCCCTAGACTTGAGACCGGCTCGCCGTCCAGGGCGTGCGCTCGTCCAGCCCCAATACGCAGCCATGCGATTGTGGATGTCCGTGGACTGGGCGGTCGCCGAAAACTCTGGGTGTTGACGAAGCGGACTTCCACGTGCTGGTACAGAAACGGTTGGGGCAGAACGCGTCCTGGCACAATGCGGGCATGCTGCACGGTGGCCGCACGGTCGCAGGATCTGGACCATGCCGTGAGCACGTCACCAGAAATAGCATGGGCCAATGTGGGAACACTGATAACCAAAGACATGCGAAAGTGGGCGAATCAGATCACGGACATGTTGATCATCACCGTGGACTTCCCAAAGGAAGAGGAAGGAAGATATCCACCTCTGTGAGATGGCCAGCCATGGGAGACACTTTCTGCTGGGCCCTTCGTGTGGGGGCGTTCAGAAGCGTTTGGACGTCTCAGGATAGATGTAGAGAGCGAGCATGCCGAATAACACCAGGACGACCCATAGCCAAGAACAATGTAGGTGTAGCGCAGAGTCCAACAATTCAGAACACTCGATGCGCCGCCACCACCCGCAGGAGCAGCCACAGACCGGCAGGAGTCCATAGCCTAGTCAAAATTGCCACTGGCAAGAGGCGTGAGCCTCAGCTCAATGTCATTGAGGAAAGTCGTGGCCTTGTCGTTTGTGTCGTCCCATCGCCCCTGCGCAATCGAAGCTGTGTTATAGAATAGGCATTCTCGGCGTAAGAGGAGCTTGTCAGCATGATCGGGAAGACGCGATGAAATTTGTTTGTTGTAAAGCGATTGCGCATCAGGTGACAGCTGCGTAAGCCTTCGCATGGCCGCCAGGGCGTTTGATAGAAATACGCTCTCTCTTGCCATCGCCACCGGGCCATTCGGAATGCGTGCGTTTCCTTATTCGGCGTTTCAACATTGGGCGGGAGGGGAGTGGAGGGGGGGGGGTCTGGCTCTGGACCTCTGCTTCGTGCGACTGTTTGAAACAAACCGTCCTCTGAAGAAGACCCCACCTGCTCGAAACAGGCGCCAAAAACAACAAAGGTCTACTCCATGGGGGGGAGCGGGAGGTGCGAGGGCCCGCGCCGACGATCACGATGTCCTGTAAACCTGGAAGGTCTTAGAAGCAGCCACGGGGGTGCCAGCAACGCGGACGGCGAACTTTATTGCCCACGGCGCCGCCCGTTGGACGAGATCTGGGCCTCAGCGAAGCCTGGCAACTTTGGTCAGCTCGATGACGAGGGCGTGGGCTGCGGCATTCGAAACATGTTCGGTGGCAACTCATGGGAACCTTCCATACCATCTGTCGGCTTTTGCGAATCGACGCTTAATCGGCGCTATCTCATCGACTCCCAGACGCTACTCGACGCTCATTAACCGACGGTGCAGACGGAATTGCGAGGGTATACAAGGCTCTCATGCGTGCTACCAGAAACAAGGTCCTCCGTTTTCAACCAGGTGATGGCGGGGTCGCATTTTGTCGGAGGCAACTTCCGAAATGGCGGATTGACTCTCGGCCCGTGTAATAGCATCAGGTTGCTCTGCAACTCCCATGGGCTGGGATATGTCGGCAACCCGCTGCTTGAGCGCTTCGTGCTCCTGCTCGAAGCGGACACGTTCAAAGAAACTGTGGCGACTTGAGCGGCCTGCGACGCAAGCAGCGTCTGGTGGATATCGTCTTGTTTGGAGAGAGCTCCAGTCATTGCGAGGTCGGCCTGGGAGAACTGCTTCGCGACGGCAGCAGTGGCGGCCTCGGTGGTAACGCCACGGCGGACTGTTTGATGCCCTCGGGGAGGGCATCGCGGATCAATGAAAGAAGTCGACTTGGGGATCGGGATCGAGCTCATCACCGGCAGGGGTCGCGAAGCCAGACCCATCAACGCCGTCTTAGAGGCGTTGACGCTTGTCGGCGCCAGAAGGGGACATGCATTCCCTGTAGTCTCTCGTGGCGGGATCCCCAGGCTCAGAGTGAGCAACACACGTAAGCGTAAAAAGAGAATGCCGCCTGACTGGCAAAGCAAGCACCGCGCTAGCGGCGTGGGTAAGCACTGCGTCCAGGTGGCACGGGGCGGGCCTGGACTCACGATCATTGAGCGAAACGCGTACGGGCCTTGAGCCAAAATGGATACGCAGCGAAGAGATGGGCGGTGAGGAGAAGGATCGAAACCAGGAGAAAGAGCAAGAGAAGGGAATATTGGGAAGAAAGGAGGAGAGGACAAAGGGGGCGGAGGAAGAGAAATAACCGGTCCAGCACAGGGATAATACCGCACAGCCGACTTAAACAAAGATGCGAATTGTTGGTAGGCGCACCATGCTTCTCGATCCACAAAGATCTGACATTAAAAATACATGCTAACATTATCAAAACAACATTATGTTTTACAGCTGGTCTGAACTGTAGAGGTGTAGGGGTGTAGAAGAGGTGTAGGGTCTATCCTTTTTTTCTTGGCGTTTGAGCGGCTGGTCGTACAGTCGAACTCTAACACTATTGACCGCTTCTGTTCCGGAAGGGACCTGGGGCTCCGCATCCCGCCTGAAGGCTGGATGATGTGCTGCGCGCCCCGCTGCAAGCATCGAGGGTCACCAGGAGAGCCCTCCAGGCTCTCTGGGGGTGGGGAGGAGCGGCCGAGGAGGCGTCCCGAGACACGAAGGCCAGCCAAGCCCTGACGGCGGTCTCGAGCCGCAGGCACGAGGCCCAGAAGCAGCCGCCCCCTCCCTCGGCCCCGTCGGCACCCCTCCCCCCCGGCAGCAGCGGCGGCGGCGGCGGCAGGGAAGGAGCAGCAGCAAGAGCAGGGAGCGAGCAGGGAGCGCGGGAGGAAGAGGGGAGGCGCGCGGGCAGGATCCAAGAGGGGCAGAAACACACTGGGCCTGCTCCTCATCCTCCTTTTCCTCCTCCTCCTCCTCCTCCTCCTCCTCCTCCGCCTTCTCCTCCTTCTCCGGGTGGCAGGATCAAACAGGGGCAAGAACACACTGAGCCCAGCGAGAAGGGAAGCAAGCGGCCAAGACCGGGGACGAAAGGAAGCCCGTCCCAGGCAGAAAGGAATCCGGTGTTCCGCCAGGGAACTATCCATCAAGGCAGGCCGAGTACACGTCACCAATGGGGGGGGCCGCACTCACAGGGTCAACCGGCGAACAAATGCCCGTGAAAGCAGCAGGAGCAGGAGGTGGGGAAACCAAAAGACACCGATGCAGCTACTCCTCAAACATCTCCCGGGGTGCGCTCTGATCCGAATGTCGAGGCCAATCCAGCCGTGGAGACGAAGGCCTCGCAGGAGGCCCTAAAAGGCGAAAGCGAGGGCAAGGTGGCGGTATCAGCGCCGTGCCCTGCCCTAGAGCACAAACTTTCGGAGCTCCGGGCGGACTTCTTGCATCTGCGCTGGACCCCCCTCCCTGGCGCGCGGAGCGGGCCAGGGAGGCACAGGTCGGGCAGTGGTAAGACTGATGTGTACTTGAAGGCGCCTCCCCCCCATTCCACTGCCCGGAGCTGCCATCACCCCGAAACACACAAGCTGCGGCTGACCTGGCTTAAAGAATATGGCACTTCTTGCTGGCTTCCGGGCCCGATCACTTATGTTGCTTCATCGGGGGACCTTGTATGTCCCGTCGCGGCCCTATCCGCGTCGAATCCGTGTCGAATCGATGTCGGACTCGTCGGATCCGTGTCGAATCCGTGTCGAAGTTGCGTTGAATCCACGCGAGATCCGTGTCGATTCCGCAGCCCGCGTCGGGCACAAGAGAAGACACCGGCTTCAGGGACAGGCGACGCCCCCCGAAGATGCGACGTAGTATCATTAACCAGCTCCCCTTACCCGGGGCCCTGGCTACAGTAGGGGCCCTTCCACAAGAAGCCTTCCACAAAAAATTCAACCCTGACACCCCAGGACGCCCTTTGCCTTATGGTGTTGGAACGTCGCGCTCTGCAATGAAAATACATCGAAACCGTCGAAACTCAGGGCACCCTGGAGACGAGCAGGGTGTTTCTTGGCATGGGCCCCCACTGCATACCCGAGCAGAAGGCGCAGGCGGGGGGCGAGAGCCTGACGCACGCGGCGGCGCACCAGGCCCTCCTGGTCGGCATGCGCGGCAGTGCGGCCCAGGCGCCCTCGCGCGGGCAGAAGCGCTGCACGGCACCCGAATAGTCGAGCCAGCTCCAGCCTCAAGGGGGCAGCAAGACTGCGCGAGCAGCGGCGAGCAGAGAAGAGGAAGACGAAGAGGAAGAAGAAGGAAAAGGAGAAGGAGAAACAGGAAAAAAAGGGGGAGGAGGCAAGGCAAGGCAAGGCAACCCTGGGGTGCTATCTCATGTGCCTACACACATAAAATTGGAAAAAGAAAATAGCACCTGAGTGGCATCAGTGATGCAACTTCCCACTGCGGTTGGCGCTGCAGGCGGAACCCACTCGGGCCTCGACCCGCCCTGAAGCTGCGAAATGCCGGTGAAAGGGGGGGTGATGGCACCGCCATTCTCTCGCAGTTAAGCTCCGCTGGCATTCGACCTAGGACGTTTTTTTTTATGTGCTGCGTTCGGACCTTGGGCGCAAAATGAGTTCTCTCGGCTCCTGCGACACCTTTTTCTTGTTACCAAAAACTCGGATAGTGCGAAATCTTGAGGAGCGGGACCATGGGGAGGGCAAGCATCAGCAGTCGCAGAGCTCGAGGACGAGGGAGGAGGGGGGAAGAGCTCTCCGCGTTCAACTAAGGCCCTGAAGCGGGCTGAAGCCTTGAAAACGGCAGGCACATATATGCACCTCTCCCTGGGTGCACTGGCCCCCGCAGGGGCAAGAGGAAATCGGAGGCCTTCGCCTCCCGTCAGTCTGGCACCCACAGAAGCTGGAGCAGCATCTCTCATTCCAGACCCCACTCGACTGGCGGTCGCCACTGTGCTCGGGCTGCTCAGGCCAGTCCCCAAACGACTGGCGTCAGTGCTCAAAACTGCACTCACGCCATGAGCTGCTCCAGCATCTTCGACGCATCCCTTTCCAGAGCACCGCGGGGCGCTGGCCCGTGCTTCCTCTGGCCCACTTTTGCTGAAGTACGCGATCAGCGCCGACTCCAACTCGCCGTAGCGGTGGTCCACTCCGAAGGTCAAGCGCAGCTTCTCCCCCTTCGCCTCCTGCTTGCGTGTCGTACGTATCCGACAATGTCGCACTTGATCGGCCAGCTCTATCACCTGCACCTTCAGCACTACCTCGCCCCAATACTTCTCCATGGTCTGCTTCACGCCGATGTCAGCCTGCGGGTCCGTGCCCACGGCCTTGATGAGGGCCGTCCAGTCGTGGACAAGCGGCGGCCCCAGCGTCTCCGTCTCGGTGCCCGCCTCCTTCCTCTTCTGGATCTCCTGATTGTAGAGCACCCCCGCCTGCTTCGCCGCCGCCACCGCGACCTGCTCGGCCGCGACTAGGAACGTGACGAACACCACTCCACATAGGTCTTGAAGTTCCGCCGCATTGAACAGGCTCAGATTTGTGAGCACGGTGACGAGGCTCTTTAAGAAATTTCTACCTTTTGACTTCGCCTGCTCGGCCAGCTTTCGCTTCTTGTCCTTCTGGCCGCCGCCCACGACCGCCGAAACGTTGATCGCCCAGTCTGGAGAGGCTTCCATGGCCGTGCCCAGGCCTGGACCGAATCACTCTGAGAGGTCCAGGGAGATGCACACGCAGATGCAGCTGTAGTTGAGCAAAATGGACGCCGACGAAGTCACATACAGGACAGTCATGCAAGGCAGGAGGCACAACAGAGCAACGATGACGAACAGCAGGAACCTTGCAGAATCCCCTCGCGAGCGAAAGCTCCAGATGTCCCTGACACGTCACGCGGCTCGAGAACACACTACGACACCAGCAACACTCGTTGGTAACTGAGGGAACATGCCCCAATTCACGATACCCATGTCGAGCGATGATACGCGTGCGAACTCCCCACGTATCCGGTGAAAACGCCCCGTTTACAGTCCCGTCGGCATTAGGGAAGCAGCATCAATACACACCGTCCCGAGCAAAGACACGGGGAGGATCATGAGCGGCAGCAGGAGCATCCCATTCAGGAGGGGGGGCTCGTTCCGACAGAAATTGACACCATAACTGTCGCACATCGACCTTCAAGAAACCCTCGGTTATCTCTGGGTCAGATAGGAGGAGTTGGCATTGGCCCCCAATCGAAGCCAGAAGCGCAGCCCCCTCATCTATCACAGGCATCGCCTCGAGATCCTTCCAAGCACGTTTGGCCCAGGGTTTCGCTCGCACACGAAATCTACCTGAGGGGGAAAACGTGGAAGCAAGGGGGAGACAGCCAAAGAAATCAGCAAGAACTTGTTTGGGAATTGAGGTGCCCCAGGAGATCTTGGAGGTACCTAGTGCGACGAATCCGAGCCTCAAGCTCGATCGGCACGATGCGCCAGTACTTTAACACTGCTTCTTTACTAAGGGAAACAGGATGGGATGATTCAGAAAAAAACGGGTTTTGCCCCTCATCGCGTTTCGGGCATATTGTGCTACTGCCGTAGTAAGTCTCGCATACTTGGCTGGTGGAAGCAAAAAAAGCCTCGAGCCCAGACAGGGCCGTGTTATAGATGTTGCTGAGAAACATACACGCGCGCACACGATAGGGCACACCAGAGAAAGACCAGAAACTGCCTAGAGAGTGCCATCCTACGCGCGGGGGAGGAGGAGGAGGAAGAGGAGGAGGAGGAGGAGGAGGAGGAGGAGGAGGAGGAGGAGGAGGAGGAAGGAAAGGAGGTGGAGGAAGAGGAGGAGGAGGAGGAGGAGGAAGAGGAGCAGGAGAGATAACAAACAAAACACGCGGCAGCCTGTTGGATGTCACAGGCCTGCCTGACGCGGCGCAGCGCAGCGCGCCCGCTCGGGCGCACGAGGGCACGACCGGAGTCGGAGCTGGTGACGGAAAAGTGAGATGCCCAACGCTGGCTTATACGATGTGCGTGTCAAACCCGCGGGGGCGACGCGCGAGCTCACAAATCTCATAGTGTATGCGCTGTGGCGTGGACTATCTGGCCATGGCGCCTGGGCAGCGATCCTCCAAAGTGCTGTATACCATCCCCTCCCGCCGCAATCAGATTCCACCGAATAGGGCCAGTTTCAGAAAACAAAACCACGCCCCACCGCTAGGACCCTCGCCCGCCCCCCCAGGGCTTTTGGGTGTAGTATATACTTCCTATGGGCGGAAACCACGTACTGCAAGGTGCTCGTACTACACGTTCGGTGCGGACGTGCGCCTCCAAGGGGGCGCATAGTAACAGCATGGGCCCACGGCTGCGACACTGTCGCTCGAGCGCCCCCCTCTGGAGGAGGCGCGGCCCCTATCTGCGGCGCACCTGGCGCGGCGGATCCTCTGAAGCGTCCGCCCGGGCGCGCCGCGGATAACACACGAAACAGGGCACCCTTGCCTATGAGGGGGAGGGGGAAGGAAGAGGGAGGAGGGAGGAGGAGGGAGGTAGGAGGGAGGGAGAGAGAGAGAGAGAGAAACAAAAAAAAAGAACGGAGGAGGGAGGAGGGAGGAGGCGGGAGGGAGGCGGGAGGAGCGTCAGAGGAAGCCTAGTAGAGGCAGGAGGGCTTCTGAGGAGGGGCGCGCCTGCATAGCCGTCTTGGACACGCTGCGGACGCGAAGCACGGGAAATACACAAATGTACGTTATCCCCCCGGATTGAAACAATTTTTCCTTGTTCGGGCTCTCTTTGGGTTCGTCTTGGGCCGTCGGGAGGGCATCCTGGGCGTCTTGGAGCGCTCTTGGACCGTCTCGGAGGCCCTCTTGGGCCGTCTTGGGCCGTCCGAAGGCCTTCGTAAGGGCCTCCGGGGGCCTCGGAGCGCTCTTGGGCCATCTTGGAGCGTCTCGGAGCGCGCCGGGGCCTGCTGGGGCTCGCAGGGGCCGCCGGGGCGCCTCCTACGCCAAGGTGGTCCGAATCGTACTTTTCGCACGCGCGGGGGCGTGCAATTTAGTAGAGATTCTCGCGCGCACTGTTCCCGGCATTGTAAGAGAGATGGCGTCGGGCTCCAGCTTCGCCTCTCGCACCTCGCTCAGCAGCGCCAGCGCCCGCTGCCACTCCCCGCCCTTCTCGCACGCGCTGATACCAGCGCTGTAGCTGACTAGGGTGTACCCGTGGACTACGTCCACTTGCGGAGTGATGGGGCGAAGGATGGGGCGCTGCCGTCAGGCGATCACGATGGATGGCGTCAGGTTCGCCTTCCACATGTCGCCGAGCAGCTTGAGCGCCGCTTGATTGGGGAGCATGGGTGATGAGGAGGCTCGATCGGGCCATGTGCAAAACGCATGGGGAACGGAGGCGCGATGGAGCAGCCGGGGGAGAAGAACATGGATGTCTTCCCATCCACCTCATTCTCCTTCTGTTGCTCCTGTTTCTCCTCCTCCTCCTCCGTTTCCGTCTCCTCCTCCTCCTACTCCTCCTCCTCCTCCTCTTCCTCCTCCTCCTGCTCCTGGTCCTCCTCCTCCTCCTCCTCCTCATCTCCCTCGTCCTTCTCAGTGCCCTCCTGATCATCCTCGTTCCCCTCATGCTGTCCCTCATCTTCCTCCTCATTCTCCTCTCCTTCGGGTTCTCTCGCCTGTCCCTCTGCAGCGTTGGAACGCAGCGCGACAACACCCTTCGGTAAGGCGTCAAAAAATGCGGTTGCGTCGAAGGCGTCGGCAGGGCTGAGATCTCCTTGGGCTCCTTTGGGAAGGTCCTCGCGGCTTCAAGGCCGTCTCGGTAAGGGCCTCGAGGGCGCCAGGACGGAACCAAAAAGAGTTTCGTGGTATTCGTGTTTAAGGGCGCTCAAAACGAACAGAGCGCGGCCTCTCGCCGGGTCGTCCTAGGCCTCTCTCGGGGCTCTCTTCGAAGTTCCTGAGATCTTCTTGGGCTCCTTTCGGGGGCTCCTCGCGGTTTCAAGGCCGTCTCGGGAGGGGCCTCGAGGGCGCCAGGACGGAACAAAACAGAGCTTCCAGGTGTTCGTTTTGAGGGGCGCTCAAAACGAACAGTGCCCAGCCCGTGGTGGGGCCTTCCCAGGCCTCTCTCGGGCTCCCTTCGAAGCGTCTGAGATCTTCTTGGGCTCCTTTGGGAAGGTCCTCCCGGCTTCAAGGCCGTCTTGGTAGGGGCCTCGAGGGCGCCAGGACGGAACCAAAATGAGCTTCGAGGTGTTCGTTTTGAGGGGAGCTCAAACGAACAGTGCGTGGCCTCTCGCGGGGTCTTCCTAGGCCTCTCTCGGAGCTCTCTTCGAAATTCCTGAGATCTTCTTGGGCTCCTTTGGGTGGCTCCTCGCGGCTTCAAGGCCCTCTCGGGACGGGCCTCGAGGGCGCCAGGACGGAACCAACAAGAGTTTCGTGGTATTCGTGTTTAGGGGCGCTCAAAACGAACAGAGCGCGGCCTCTCGCGGGGTCTTCCTAGGCGTCTCTCGGGGCTCTCTTCGAAGTTCCTGAGATGTGTTTGGGATCCTTTGGGAAGCTCATCGTCTGGGCGCGCCAGGGGAACCAAAAAGAGCTTCCAGGTGTTCGTTTTGAGGGGCACTCAAAACGAACAGTACCCGGGCCGCAAAGAACGCGAGGGCGCGGGGAAAAGCACGCACAGGGAGCTCGCAGGGAACCTCGTCAGAAGACACGTTGAAGTTGCTGGCTTTCCAGAGAAATGTGTTTTTTTCCCTCCTCAGGCGCTCCTGCCAGCGCGTGTTAGACCGCTCTGGGGCCATTTTGGGCGCGCGGGGGAGGCTGCTGAGCTGGCAGGGCGCCTCCGGAAGCATCTCGGACCGCCCGAAGAAATCCCAAGAGAGCCCGGAGGAGGCCGCGGAGGGCCGGAAGAGGGCCCCGAGGCGCCAGAAGGGCCGGACAGGGGGCCCGAGGCAACCGAAAAGAACGCGAGGGCGCGGGGAGAAGCACGCACCGGGAGCTGGCAGGGAACCTCGTCAGCAGGAACTTGAAAGTGGCTCGTTTTCCAAAGGAAATGCCTCTTTTTCCCCTCCTCAGACGCTCCTGCCGGCGCGTGTTGGAGTGTCTTGGGCCATCGTGGGCGCGAGGGGGAGGCTGCTGAGCTTCCAGGGCGCCTCCGGGGAGGTATCTCGGAGCGTCTCGGAGCGCCCTGGGGCAGCCTCGGAGCCGCGGAGGAGTCGACCAGAGCTTGCTGGGGCGCCCCGGGATGGCTCCGGAGGGGCCGGCCCGCGGCCACTGCTTAACAATTTGGCTAGCGGTGAACTCTGCATTGTAGTAGAGATGACGTCGCGTTCCAGCTTCGCCTCCCACATCCCACTGGGTACTGACAGCGCGTGTTGCCATTGCCCACGTTTTCTGCATGCGCTGACAGTCGCAATGTACTGCCTTGGGACAAGCTGCGCACCTAATCAAATTCCTTCGCGGATCAACCGCAGTGCTGCACTCCACTTTGTTGTCCGACCGCAGTTCTTGATCGACGTCTCGAAGGAAATACCCCCTTCTCGAGACCCTCGACTGATGTCCAACATCCGAAAACAACAAGGCACCGCGGCATGAGTCAAACATACCTCGGGTCAAATGGCTTGAGCCAGAATGGAAACGGCCTCCCGTTGACCCCTCTTAGGGAGACAAGTGTTACCTGCGCCAACGTCCGCCGAGTTCCCGACAACTACGCAGCCG